TCCTTTTCAGGCCAAACCAATGTACTCCTTCCATGAGTTTTTTTGGAAACAGTATTTATGATTTTACAAATAATTCCTGTCTCTGTAAATGTGTTAAACCAAACTGTGACCTAACCATGGTGAGGCCACTTGCTCAAGGCTTCTCAGGCTTGATTTTTCAAGCCACGATCACACGTCGGGCTCAGAATAAACATCTTTAAATTATTTTACCAAGTCTGGCTTCTTTTCCATTGACAGAGGGAAGACAATTCCAGGCCAAGGGATGGCTGAGATAAAGGCCGTGAGGTAAGAGCTTGCTAGTGCGGGGAGAAACAACCTGTAGTCTTGTGGGAAAGTTTAGGTGTGAGGGGAGTGGGTGGAGAAATTTGAGGTCCAAAGAGGGATTTGGGTGGGATGGTGTTAACAAAAAAAAAAAAATTAACAAGGTTTATACTTTGGAGAAAGAAAAGTCTTATTTCTCATAAAGGGTGGCCATTTCAACAGGCTGGAAAGCAGAGCCCCAAACAGAAGCAGGGGTAGGGGGGTCGGTGGGTGCTCCTGAGAAGAGACCAGGAAACGGATTTTATACTGAGTAGGATAGTCAAATATACATATTCAACAAGCTATAGGAGGAGTCATGAAATTTATGAAGGGAAACCATATGTATGTAATTGTGCTTTTCCTCTTCCATCCCCTCATGGCTGGGAGTTCCATTTTAAGATGGTTCTGGGAACCCCTGGGCTCAGAGTGGTCCATTCAGTTAGTAGAGGGCTTAGGAGCTTACTTTTTGGTCATCACAATAGAGACCGTGGAGTGTTGCACAGAGAAGGGATGGAATCTGAATTGTGTTCAAAATAAGTCACTGTTGAGTATAAATTAAAATCCTAAGCCTCCTGCCAACTGAATGGACCCCTCCTTGGACGAGGGGATCCCAGAAAAAAACTTGAAACTGAGTTCCCAGCTCTGATGAACAGGGATGTCACACAGGGAGTTTAGACACTAAAACTGATGAGCATTAATATTTTTTTCTTTTATTTTTTGTAGAAACAAGGGACAGGGTTTCACTCAACTTCTGGGCTGGAATGCAATGGTGTCATCATGGCTCACTATAACCTTGAACTTGTAAAAGAGCTCAAACAATCTTCTTGCCTCAGCCTTCCAACTGGGATTGGCTGGGTACAAGTGGCTTATGTCTGAAATGCCAGCATTTTGGGAGGCTGAGACAGGAGGATCACTTGAGTTCAGGAGTTGGAGGCCAGCCTGGGCAAAATAGCAAGATCTCATTTCTACAAATGTTTTTGTTTGTTTTTTGAGACAGAGCCTCAATCTGTTGCCTCTGGTGGAGTGTAGTGGCATTAGCCTGAGCAAGAACAAGGCCCCATCTTTACTATAAATAGAAAAATTAGCCAGGTGTGGTGGTCGGTGCCTACAGTTCCAGCTACTCCAGAGGCTGAGGCAAGAAGACCTCTTTTCAAAAAAAAAAAAGGGGGGGAATCAGAGATCTCCAGATTTATCTTCAGATCCAAATCAGAATCCTGAATTGTTTATAGGAATAATAAGCTGATTTTAAAATTTATGGGTAAATACAAAGGGCCCAGGAGGAGCCAGGAGACCCCTGAAGAATAAGCAGATTGTAAGCCAGACTGTCGCTTCAGAGCTGCGTGGCACAATCCACCAGCTCTGAGCACGAATAGCCAGTGACTCAGCGTTGTGTGAAAGCTGTCACACTGGCAAATGGGGGTAGAGGGAGCTCACACGAGATTTGCCTGATAACAGAACTGCAGGGAAAGGTTTCAAGCTGCAGCTTGCTTCAGGGGCCACCCGAGGACAGCAGGCTGATAGTAGGGAGCACGTGTCTGACACCTCCTGGCACAAACCCCAACCAAAACTGCAAGGGCCTGACTATAACTCCCTAGACTGCAGGTCCCACCCAGCCACCAGGACATCTGCCAGTCAGAACTCAGCCACCCTGGAAGGCGGGGCCCCAGCATCACTTCCTTCCATAACAGCACTTGCAACTCTGTCCCCAAACCCCAACTTCCCCTTTCCTCTCTGGATGTACCAGTGGCCACTGCAGTCGGTGTATTGCCCTGGATACTATTCCCAAATAAAACCTTTTTTTTAACTTAGAGATTTGTCTTTCTATTTTTTTTTTATCGCCCACAGTAGAGTGCTCTAGCGTCATAGCTCACAGCAACCTCCAGCTCTTGGGCTTAAGCGATTCTCTTGCCTCAGCCTCCTGAGTAGCTGGGTCTACAGGCGCCTGCCACAATGCTGGGCTATTTTTGGTTGAAGTTTGGCTGGGACCGGGTTTGAACCCACCACCCTTGGTATATGGGGCTGGTGCCCTACTCACTGAGGCCCAGGCGCCACCCTGTTTTTCTTTCTTTCTTTTTTTATGTTGACAGCTTCAAAGTAGAAAGCATCTGAATGCCTGTCAGAGGAGGATGGGCACACACATGGGATGTTGGTAGCATACTCTGGGCCACGCATAAAGCCAGCCACCGCCGGAAACACCAGATAGGTGTTCAGGGAGAGAAGCCCAATGCAGAGTAACAACTGGTTACAAAGACATGTTGCCCAGATAGGGTAGAGGAACACTGGACACAGGCAGGCAGGTGGGAAGCAGTGGCAGGGCCTCTCAAGTGCTGCCCCCTGGTGGCTGCAGGCAGCTGACTCATGTGAAAGGTAAACTCAGAGGGTCTGTTTAAGACCAGCACCTGGGGAAAAATAGACCTTTTCATAAATGAACTTCCTATCCCCTGGGGTCCTTCACCAGGGGAACCAACGAGGAAGCACCTACCCTGTGGTGGGCCAGTGCCTACATTAGCCCACCTTTCCCAAATTATGGAGGACGAGCCTGGGGGGCAGAGGATGATGCCTACCCAAAGTGAGCCGTCCTTTGGGAATCTGGGGGGGATTTCTACATGGTCTGCCCTGGGCCAGGTGCTCCATGTGGCTCCCAGCCCCAAGCTGGACTGTCCCCACCCTCGAGTCCAGAGTGCAGCCACCTGGGCAGCATATGGCAGAACCCAGCTCTGGAAGGAAAAGGCTGTGTAGTTGTTGTTTTATGGCAGCAAAAGCTAAAAAAGTGGAGTTTTGGTTTCCAGAACCACAGAGATCAGTTTTGTTGTGGTAAGCAGCCAAGTTTGAGGCAACTGCAGCAGCCCTGGGGATCAATACCCTCTGAACATGGTGTACTCCTTCTTGCCCAAGCGCTGAGTTCTCTGGACTGCTCCAGGACCTCAGCCCACACTCACCAAGCCCCTCCATGGCTGTCCCTGTGAGAGCCCCCAAGAGAGCCCTGGAGGAAAGAGTTTAACCAGTCAGCCCACAAGGTAAAGCTGCATTGTTTCCTTTAAAGAGGAAGTTGGGCTAACATGCATTTATGTGCTTTTATTTCTAAGTGCATTTTCTCAATGCCTTTCACAGTGAAGAATGGCAGCTGCCACACAGAAAGGGGCTATGACATCCCAGGGCCCTACACCACAGAGTGGGCCCTGCTTGTGCTCCATGTGTGAAGGGCAGAGCAGAGGGATACAGAGGGGAGGACAGTCAGCCCTGGCAGTGACTCAGTGAGGTAGGTGTCATTGGCCCTGTTTTACAAATGGAGAAACCAAGGCAGAGACATGACCTGCCTCAGGCAAGGCTGGTCAGGTGTAAAGCCGGGGTCTGCCTCTGGGCCTTGGGCTTCCCAGATGATGACTTTCCACAAAACACAAACCAGCTCCTGTGCTCCAGCCTTATGAAGGGGTTGGGGGCCAGGGTCCATGTCACACACTTGCTGCTGACAGGGTCTGTGGACCTCTCAGCCACTTCTCCCTGACAATGGAGCCAGGAATTCCAAGTGTCCCTTGCCTCTGTGGCATCTGTGCCACACCCCACCCGGGGTGTCCACCAGCATTTCCTGCCAATGGGTGCTCCCAGCATGAACATGTGGGGCTCCTCAGGGGGCCCGTGGGTGGCCATTCAGGAGCCAGAGCAGCTAATTGCCTGACCCAAGGCTCCCTGAAGGGCCCAGGCAGCACACGTGCACTCAGCACTGAGCCAACCCCAGACGAGGACTCTCAGGGCCAGCTCCCGTATCCCACAGCACTAGGTGACCCGTGGCCTGACTCATATCCACATTCTGTGGCAGAAACATGGAAAGCCCATGGTGTAGCATCCTATCCAGGCAACATTTGTGGAAAGTCACACAAATGAAGGCACCAGCATGGGTGCTAACTGGGCAGCTGCCTGGGGCCTCTGCTGTTTGCTGACAGCTGAGGGAGCTGGCCAGACAGGCTGCCAGCAGGACGTCCTCCTGCCTGTAGCTCTCAGTCCAGGCCACCTTGGACATGCAACTGCCTATGTGGGAAATCCTGGGGCTATGACACCCAAGGGCAGAGGCTCTTGGAAGGAGCAAGAGACCTGTACTGTGTCTTCAGAGGCCTCTACGGGGATCTGGATGGACTGGCTGGTGGCTCAGCAGATGGCACTGGCCACTTGGTGCCCCCTCTCACCCCTGCTGTCCTCCCCTGCAGTACATGAGCTCAGCAGGACTCCTCGCCCAGCCTGCTAAGGGAACACCCTGAGCCCCACGTGTCCTGCTGTGAGTCCTGAGGGTGGACAGGCTGCAGGAATGTGAAGTGGTCTGTGAGTGCCGTGGGTGATCCTGTCTCCCCTGAGTCCTTGGAACATGTGAGCTTGGTGATGTCCGTCTTTGCAGACTTTTTCCACCCCTTGTGGATTCTGGATACTTCCTGCCGAGAGTGGTCTGTGGCCAGCACATAGATGATGGGGTCTGCCACGCTGTTCACTGTGGACAGGCACAGAAACACCGTGGAGGCCGTGTAGAGCCTGGCTTCAAAGGCACACACATCATGGTGGTCCCCTCTATAGTAGGAAAAGGCAGCAGCTTTGAGGAGGAGTACCAGGTGGTAGGGTGCAAAGCATAGCAGGAAGATGAGCACGACCGCCACTGCGGAGCGTCGCACCTGGGCCTTCTGGACAGCGTCCAGGCCCACACTGCGCCGGATGCTCAGGAAGATGCGCTGGTTGGTGAAGGAGATGAGAAGGAGGGGCAGGGCGAAGCCGGCGGCAAAGCGTGCGTAGTAGTATCCAGCAATCCTGGCGTCCATCTGCAGTGTCTCAAAGCAGGTGTTCTTGTCCTCCATCTCAAACACCGGGTAGTGAACCAGCCCGACCAGGAGAAAGATGGACACAGATATGACCACAGCGGTCTTCTGGCGGCGGTGCCCCCGGCTCTCCAGAGCATACACCACCGCCACAAAGCGGTCACAGGAGACACAGCAGAGGAAGAGGATGCTGACATAGATGTTGCAGAAGAAGATGTAGGCGGTCACCTTGCAGGCCCACGGGCCCAGAGTCCAGCAGTGCTGGTTCTGGACGTACATGATCCAGAGCGGCAGGGTGCCCACGTACAGCAGCTCGCACAGCGCCAGGCAGAATAGGTAGACCGCCAGCACGTTGCCCTGTAGCACCTGCAGCAGCGTCAGCCATGCGGTCAGGCAGTTGGCTGGAAGGCCCAGTGTGCACACTGCGCTATACACCACCACCAGGAACACTCTGCTCTCCTCGAAGGACACGTTGCAGTTCTCAGAAGCCCGTGCGGCATAGTTGGTCACTTGGGAAGCGTTTCCTATGGGACAGAAACAAGAGTGAGGATGGGAGCACCTGGCGGCCACCTGAGAAAGGCTTTACAGCCCAAGAAAGAACAAGAAGCTTCATGGTAACTCCAGACAAGATACAAGTGCTTAAAAACTTTCCAGCAGGATTTCTTTTTTTTTTCTTTTTTCTTTTTTTATTGAGACAGAGTATCACCTTGTCACCCTTGGTAGAGTGCTGTGGCATCACAGCTCCCAGCAACCTCTCTTGGGCTCAAGAGATTCTCCTGCCTCAGCCTGCCAAGTAGCTGGGATACTATAGGTGCCCACCACAACGCCTGGCTACTTTTTTAAAATTTTTAGTAGAGGAGGAGTCTCACTCTTGCTCAGGCTGGTCTCCAGCTCCTGAGCTCAGGGGATCTATCCTCCTCAGCCTCCCAAAGTGCTGGGATTACAGGTGTGAGTCCCTGCATCTGGCCTTTCCACAACCATTTAGTTCCTTCCTGGATGTCTGAGCCTGCCCAGAGTTCCCTCACAAGCCCTGCAGACTGGGCTACCCACAGGCATGCAACTGCCTATGTCTCACATCTATTTCTCACAGCCTGGAGGTGGAAGTTACAGACCCAGGTGAGAATACTCAGTGTTCCATGAGGGCTTCCTGGTCCATAGATGGCACCTTGTCCTGTGTCCCCAATGGTGAGAAGGACAGGGGTTCCCTCAGGGCCTCTTTTTCAGAGCATCATCGCACCTTCCCAATGGCCCCAACTGCTAACACATCCCCTTGAGATTAAAGATTCAAACATAAGAATTCAAGGTGGGGGGCACACAAACATTCAGCCCACCACAGTTTCTGACATCCTTTGGAAATTCTGCTATGAAGGGCTTGTTGGGGGCTGAGCAAGGTGCTCATACCTGTAATCCCGGCACTCTGGGAAGTCAAAGTGGGAGGATTCCCACAACTCAGGAGTTGGAGACCAGCCTGAGCAAGAGTGAGACACCCCCCCCCACACTAATAAGAAACTAGCCGGGCATGGTGGCAGGTGCCTGAAGTCCCAGCTAGTTAGGAGGCTGAGGCAGGAGGACCTCTTGAGCCCAGGAGTTTGAGGCTGCTGTGAGCTATGATGCCACAGCACTCTACCCAGGCCAACAGAGACTCTGTCTCAAAAAAAAAAAAAATAGAGCTTGTTGGGGCAAACTCTCCCAGCTGTTGTTTATATGAAGTGCCTTTATTTTACCCCAGTTTTAGAGATAATTTCCCCAGGGTGCACTTTGGCCTCAGTGTGTTGAAGGCCTCAGCCCCGTCTCAGCTTCTGCAGCTGCAGGTAGTGGCCACCTGTGAGTCCCTCTGCCATGCCCTTGACCTTCTGAATGAGAGGACTTAGGTATTCCATCCACTCTGGACAGCCACACCTGTGCCCCTCGGGGAACTCTGGGCCTGAGTGAGACTCGCTGACCCTCCTGTCCCACTCCTAGTGTCCCAGCTTCCTCTCCCACCTCCACCTTTTTGTCCTTCAGGGCCCTCTGGATAATATCTTCATATGTAACTTCAATTCATTAACTCTCATTTTAACTTTGTGTAATCTGCATTTTTAAAAGCTTATTTGATGAGTTTTTATCCTCATGTAATATCTTTAATTTCTAGAAATTCTGCTTCACACCTGGACTGACTGGGTTCTCTGTGAGTTTTTAGTCCTCCCTGAGTCCTCAGCTGGACCTGACACACTCCTCTTCACACCGAGTGTGATCCCGTGCTGGAGTCTTGGGGGAGGACTCCACCCCATGGAGCTGGTTCCCTGGTGGCAGTGGCTGCCTCACACAATCATCCCCTCCATCCATCTGCAAACCTTTCTCATCTCTCCAGGCTGAAACTCTGTCCCCACTAAACCTAACTCCCACCCCAGGTTGGCACCTGCCATCCCACCTCTGTCTGTGTAGGTTCCAACACTCTCAGGGTCACACAGCATTTGTCCTTTTGTGTCTGGCTTATCTCGCTCCCCAAAGTGGCATCGAGGCCCATCCCTGTTGGAGCAGGTGTCAGGATTCCCTTCTTCTTCTTTTTTTTTTTGTTTATTATTATTATTGTTATTATTTTTTTGGCTGGGGCTGGGTTTGAACCCACCACCTCCAGTATATGGGACTGGTGCCCTACTCCTTTAAGTCCCAGGCGCCTCCCAGGATTCCCTTCTCTTAAGGCTGAGTGACTCCCTTGCAAAGTAACACTCCAAGATGTGACCTTGAGCACATTCTGCTTATCCATGTGTCTGTATCTCAGTGGACACTCAGCTGCCTCCAGGGCTCAGCTGCTGTGGATAATGGCACTGTGGACGCAGCATGCACGTGTCTGTTCACTTGCCTGCCTTCAGTTCTCTTGGGCCCATAAGTGGGATGACTGGATTGCATGGTAATTCTGTTTTCAACTTTTTGAGGAACATCCAGGCTGTTTCCCATAGCAATTACACCACTATATGTGCCCACCAGCAGCCCACGAGGGTTCCAGTCTCTCCACATCCTGACCAGCGCTTGTTGTTTCTAGTCCGTATGTACATCCATCTGTCCTTCCTTCCTTCCTTCCTTCCTTCCTTTCTTTTCCTTTCCTTTCCTTTCTCCTCCTCCTCCCCTCTCCTTCTTCTCGCCTCCCCTCTTCTCCTCATCCTCTCCTCTCTGTCCTCTCCCTCCTCTCCCTCCTTCCCCTCTTTCTCTCCCTCTTTTTTCCTTTAATCTCACTGTGTTATCCGGGCTAGAGTGCTGTAGCATCAGCCTAGCTCACTGTAACCTTGAACTCCTGAGCTCAAGCCATTTTCTTGTCTGGGTCTCTCAGAATGCTGAGATTACAGGCACGAGTTACCATGCACAACCTGTTTCTGGTTTTCTGACCATGGCCATCCCAGTGTTGTGAGTGACCATGCCATGAACTGTTCTTTTTTTTTTTTGAGACAGAGTCTCACTATGTCACCCTTGGTGACTGCTGTGGCATCACAGCTCACAGCAACCTCAAACTCTTGGGCTTAAGCGATTCTCTTATCTCAGCCTCCCAAGTAGCTGAGACTACAGGCACTGGCCACAACACCCAGCTATTTTTTTTTTTTTTTTGGTTGTAGTTGTCGTTGTTGTTTGGCAGGCCCAGGCTGGGTTCAACAACCCCACCCCCACCCCCGCCCAGGTCCAGTGTATGTGGCTGGCGCCCAAGCCGCTGAGCTACAGGTGCTGAGCCAACCATGAACTTTTCTGGGTCTCCTCATTCACCTTCCTCCCCACTCTGGCCCCACATGGGCCTGACACATGTGGCTCAGGTTGTGAGCAAACTGCCCACCACCAGTCAGATCCAGCTGTCAGCTCATTGGCCAAGAGACTAGGCTGTGGCTGTCGGGTGGGGGCAGTGGGACAATTCTTGGGAGGGGGACCTGACACCGCTGTTCCCTCCTGGGCAGCTCTGCTCCCCATCACAGGACTACCCAGCCCTCACTGGAGAAGCCTGGGTGGCCTGTCTCCACTCTAGGGCTCAGATGTGTTTCTGGCACTGACTGTACCGTCTCAGTGATGGTTCCATTCTCTGGGGACAAAGCACGTAAAATCCAAAACCCAGGTGCAGATGCAAGTGAGACCCAGCAGGGATCTGGGGTCCCCCAGCCTTCACCTGGCAGAGGTGCTGGTCCCTTCCCTCAGGTGGCCTCTCCAGGCCGTCACCTCTGTGCCAGGCTGGTAGTGAGGCTGCCCCCATGTAGGTGACCTCCTGGAAAAGAGTCTTCTAGGTGAGGGCAGGAGAGGTGCTTACACAGGCCACTGCTGACCCTCGGGGAGCTGAGTGGGCCTGGGGCCCTGGGGATAACTCCCTGCTCAGCAGCAGTCACTTTCCAGGAAGTGGACAGCTGAGGGACACTGATGTCCCTCACCCGGTTCCTGGCTTTCCCAGAACTTATCAGGAACTGTGAGCACCCCAGCTTCTCAGGAGAGTGCCTCAGGCGTGTTGTCTTAGAGTGAGTTCTATTACGATCATCTATTTTTTGTATGTTAAATTTTGAATTATGAGGCAAAATTCTTATGGGCTTTCCCTTCCATGGGCAGAGCCCAGGTGGCCCTCTCACCTGGCATGTCGTGGGCTCCAGCCTCTGTGGTTCTGAACATGTGGCACATGCCTTGGTCCTTTCTGTGGTTTACACTGAGGATTTAAAATGACCTGGAAAAAGCAGGTTGAAATTGCTTTAGGGAAACCAGATTAAACCAAAGATTAATTCATCTGACAAAATGGTTAGTGAGCATGGTTAGTGAGCACGGTTACCCCATGGCAACCCACAGGGTAAGCACAAGACTCAAAGCCCAAGAGCAGGAAACCACCATGCTGTGCACCATCACTGCAGGTGGCTTTCAGCGTCATTCCAGTCACTGATGCTGGGGTGAGGAGACAGCCCACGTGCTACACTGAAGAAATAAAACCAGCTCACAAAATCTGAACAATGCCCCAGTCCACTTACAATCAAGAAATGCAAATGGACACATCTGAAAGATAGTCCCTCTTCCCTGACCTATCAGGCTGGACAGGTAAAGACTTAGGAGGTTTATGTCATCACACATGTGAACACGTGGTCCTTCATGCTGAGCTGATGGAAGAATAAACTGGCACAGATTTCCTAGAGCACGATTTTGTAGTATGTTTCAAAAAATCTAAACGTACGTAAAACCCTCTGCCGGTCACTTTCCTGGTGAAGTAAGTACCCCAGGTATGAAGAACATGTGGGCCTGACACTGAATCCTGGCATGAGAGGGATGCAAGCCCTGCTGGTGGGTGGGGTGGGCCTCTAGAGCTATCTGTCTGCTTCCTTCCCCCACCAGGACCCCCAAAACAGGTTCCACCCTAACCAGCCACAGGTAGGGGAGTGACCATTCTAAGGCTGTCCTCTGATGCTTGGACGCTGCTCTCTGAGGCTTGCCCTCCAGGGGCAGGTGGACCCCAGCCCTCACCATGGGCTGCCCTCTGTTGGCCAGAGACACTCAAGGGAAGCCAACAGGTGCTGGGACTCTCCCGAAGATGCTCCCAAGG